TATGGCGACTCGGAATGCTAAGTTGTGTACTCGACGATTCAGGATGTATTAGTCTGTGTTTATCAACATGGAGTATCGAACAGCACTATTTAAAAGTGTGTGTCTTCATCTATATTTCATATTTAGATTAATAAATCATAAAAGTTGTTTGCAGCGAATGTTTTACAATAATTTTTCATTTTCGTTTCCAGCAAGAACTTGGAGAAGAATTGTTGTGTAAAGAATCTCACGTCAAATGGGGGGACGCGTTCGTAGTCGTCTACAACATATGTGATAGGAGAACTTTTGATGTATTGGAAAGACAAATACAGTACATCCACAAAGCAAAAGTACCATGTTCGGTTCCCATAGCAATAATCGGGAATAAAACCGATCTCAACGCTCATCGACAGGTCCCACTCGAGGATGGGGAATTACTTGCCGAAGAGTATGGATGTCACTTTTTTGAAGTTACCGCTAGAGGGGGCTGTACCGGCGTGTCGAAAGCGTTTACTTCAATTGTCCAAGACGTGAACACGACTAAGAGACAGAAAACCACATTGCGCAGGCGTAACAGCGTCACCAAGGCGATCAGCAATAAAGTGTTATCAGCTGTTCAAACATTCAGGACTAAACAACCCCATCACCAGCAATCAAATTCTCTCCGCTCCCGACATCATCATCAGCACCACCATCCAGGTGAAACCTCGTACGTGAAACCAAAATCAAGGAAAACTTCGCTTCAAATGTTTTGAGCTAGAATTTAAACTCAGCAGAGGCATCGGATGTGTCGTAACTTTAGACAGGAAATCTGTATCTATATACGGAAAAAATACACTGCGTGGAGATGCTTGCCGAACTGTTCAAGTTGAACAATCGTTCCCTTGAGACGAATAAGCGTTTTTTGAACCTTAACTTTTCGAAATTGGGTACCGTAAGAGGGCGCTGTCGGACATATGATGCGTGTGAAGACTCGCTGGTGTAACTGTTAACAGTTGTTTTCTGGTTCAATAATATATCACTTGAGACAATCAAGTTGACTCACAACTTCCAGGGTGAGATGGATAGAACAATTACAACTTGATCATTTGCCGATTTCATTCATTTTCAAATCATTTATATTCGAGTTGAGAAAAAAACCTAAACTCATGCTGTCCCAAGTTCGTTGACAGGAAATTATTTGTGCTGCATCACTAATTTTAGTCACCATCAGTACATTGTGTCACCGAGACAGAGGGCGCAGTTTAGACGTTTACTTAGTTAGCAACTTCCATACACGGTTCATCATTTCTTTATCATTAAAACACATTTTGAATTGTTCTGAAATTTTCAAATATGACAGAAACGCCACAGGTGAAGGGTGAAGAAAAGGTTGGTTCGTTTATTTCAAAAAAAGTATTTTTTTTTATATAATGAATAATTAATAAATTCAAATTAAAAGTAAATTTTATGCAGTTGAGACCTTTGAATGTATTCACACTGAGACGAGACTTATTTAGTAAAATGAGACCACTTAGTTCAGTGATGAGAGAACGGAATAATTATTCCTGTCGTTGGGTAATTATTCTTCACTGGGTTAAACCTGTTACATTTTGCGTAGTATTACATTTTGACAATTATTGTATTTGTAAAATAATAGAAGGAAAGCTCAAGTCATGATTAAAGTGTAGCATTCTTTTTAGAAATATCGATTTATTTGTTGTCAATTCTGTTTTTATCGTTACATCGCTTGTATTGGCAGAGAGCTAGCATCGTTCAAATCGCACGGTTTCGCTAAAACCGACCATTCAATTCCGGCCCACGAATGTTGAGGCTTCGGCCGAATAAATGGTCCTTGGCTGGGGAAGATGGGGAGCTAGTAGCTATTGAATTATATATTATCCCACAGTGCTTTGCGACATGATTTGACCGGGCGAGTGTAATACAGAATAGCATGGAGACAGAGCATGAGTATTATTCTGATTATTCTCGGGATCACGACCTCAATGAATTTTACACATGCTTATTCAGTTCAATGTTTGCAGAATAAATCAGCCTGGGGTCAGTAGAGTATTCTGTGAGTCATGATTGTATTATATAGACTTGTACCGCTTTATTGTGTGTATGTAAACCAGACGAGTACATTTAAATTCAGTCAATAAACGTACAAGGTGAAATTCACAAGGTGAATATGCTAGATGGAGGACAATAGTAAATAAAATTCTTCGAGATACGTTCCGGAATGTTGTAAATGCTTGATTTGGGTTCATTTTACAACTAAACCGCTGGTCAACTGTCTGTGCAACTTTATATTGTATGAATCTGTGTTACTACTATAACGCGATATAATGTCAACCTCTTATTTATCATTTGTGATTTCATGAACCAGTATTTCCGCCTCTTACATCCGATATTGGTGATACTATCTAACAGTTTCAGGCTGATTGGGAAATACTTGAAATTTGATTTAGTACAGTTTGTCTCATAATACATAATGTTTTCACTGTTTATTTTTTTAGAATTACATGGCTTAGTTTAAACATTTCATTTAGGGTAAATGTTGTTTACTTTCCTTTACAACAGTTATGACAGTTAATCACCCGTATTATATTATAATACTAGA